CCTTGCCACATACCCCGATCAACTTAGACTATGCTAATGTCAATGTAATCAAAAGTAATCAACCTGAAGGACATCTAAGGGAACTGGGGACTATCCCGAGGGCCAGATCACGTTTTTTTCTCAGAGCTTCACTATTTTCCTTTGGAACAAAAGAAACCAAGAGTACAGAAAAACAAACGTAAAAAAATGCATGTATGATTCCAGGCGCGTTCACAAGGTACCGTTACTGGAGAAGATTTTCGGTTTTATTTTTGATGTGATTCTCGCCTCACAGACTACGACGCTTCCTTTGACTATCGTTATATACAACGAGAAGCTACAGGAACAATTTCGACGGTTATTAGGAGAATGTGAGTGCTATTTCAGTATTTCTTGTGTATTATAAACTTTGCAGCAATCAGTGCAGTTACGCTCTGTGAGCATGCGAGCTACACTCCTTATCCCTGAGACGGAGTAGGCGTGGCTTTTGAGCATGGCATAGGACGGGTTTCTCGTGGGATACTTCAATTTGAAACAACTGCTATCTTGTTCTGTGTTAGATGTAGACATGATTACGACTGCTCCAAAATGACAATATCTCACGAAAACCTGGGCCGCCGCCATTTTAAAATCAAGTACGCAGCCACGCCTACCGATCAAGCTATGTATGCTAACATAGGTCGCCAGCTGTGAAATAATTTGTGCTCTAAACGTGTCCCTGCTGTTGGAGAACCTTAGAATGGGTCTCATTCGCGGCTAATTAAACACTTCAGTGCCAAATCGCCTTGATCAAGGGAACCTGTGGTTAGCAGGTGTAAGCATATGACTGTTAAACTAACTGCATGTACCCAAAGCTTGCGACACGCGGAAATTATGGCGAGACTCTTCACCCTTTATGCAAGCTGACCTCATTATATGCTGTTGTCAGCGAAATCATTTTTGTTCTGTTCATTATCCCAGTCTTTGGTACGGTACTGGACACTATCCTTTGAAATGAGCTGCTCATTAGCGTTTTTTGTGCTCGTAAGTGCACATGGAAGGGCAGAGACTGCGCCGTCCATGTGCGCGTACGAGCACAAAAAACTGACTGGGGAATGAATTTTCAAGGCAACAGTACAAGTAGAATTGCCAAAGGACCCGAGTCTACCTTCATTTAGACTCTGAAAGAACTATAATAAAACAAGACGGAAGCTGCTTCCCATTAACGTGTTCATTGCTTTGAAGGGTTGACAGGTAGCTTCCAGAAACCTTGACTGCCGTCACTACATCATCTTGGCTTCAGCCATCATTTCTGCTTCAAAAAATTTCACAGGTCTCTTCTTGGTGGGCTACAATGGGAAGCAGTGAAAGTGCGAAATGGCTCCTTCCCAGCGTGGTCGAACTGTCCCGGAAGTAGGCCATCGTTGTAAAAATCGCAACGAAAGATTGTATCTGTTCGGAAGGGAGGGGAGGGGGCGTAAGAGCACGGCTCGGGCTCCTCGCAAGGATCTTTCTGCCCAAAAGAGGGCACCCTCGGTGTTCCTGGCCTATTTGAAAAAAAAGATCAGGAAATCGCTTTAGTGCAACTGCTGAAACTACATCTGCTGGAACTACAACTGCCCGGTTCATTGGTGAGCGGGCTGTGTGGGGTGTGGAACGCCCAACAGCACTCCTTCCACCAATGACGCTGGCACCCACCGCACGCCTCCTGCAATCGTGCCTTTGAGTGAGGAAAACCTCATGCACGAAAATGTTTCTCGGGAAATAAGTTCCAGCGTATATTCACGAAATCACATCGAAACAGTCGCAAAGCAGAAAAGAATGATTCCTGACCACCTCACCTCAAGTTTTATACGTTTTTTTTATTATTTTTAGCATTAGTCGCTTAATTCCCAGGTTACATTCATTCGTAATCATTTTAGTACATCCTGCAATGAAATTTTCTTCACGGCACACTGGCGGCCATCTAACTGATCTAGAAGGCAAGAACATGAAAATCGAAGTGAGTTTTGCCTTCTTTGCCACCTGTGTAATAATTGAAACATATATTGAGATTCTTGTAGATCGAAGAGGTCATTGTTGATTAAGAACGTCAATTTCATGCGATCAAACTCGGACTGGTTATTTTCAGAGTCATGAGGAGACAAGGACGTACTTCGATCAGTTGAGAGCAGCGTGGTACTGAACAAGGATGTGATGACGAATTGCTGAAACAAAACACAGGAATCGATGCCTATAAATATGTACACAGAAATTGCAATAAAGATGGCTAGTACTTATAAACGTAAAGTATACGGCAATACAGTGTCCTCAAAATTATGAGCATATGCACGAGACCACCACTGCATTTTTGAAAGGCAGTTTACCTAGGTTAGCTAAAAAATGCTGGTACATACTGTATGTATTGTGCTGTATGGCTTGTCATATTTTCGGGTGGATGACAGTGTTAGGCACTTCTTACGTCAAGGATCCTCAGCGGGGTCGTGTTTGATCGACCGGAGGGAATTCTGCCTGATCTTTGAAAATTATTTCAGATTGTTGATTTCACCCATTTTGCTACGCTTTCCCATTATCCTGCTCCTCACGAGTGAAAGGATCGAACGCTCGGTTGTGGGAGGGTATCGTGGCAGAAAATAAAGATCGAATAGGCACTCGGATGCCATGACAATTCTGAGTGAAAGTTGAAGGCATAGCGCATCTGGCAGGTTGCCTAATGCAACTGCTTTTATTCCCAGCTCTGTACCTCCCCAACAACCCCGGTGAACCATTCGTTTCACACCTATCAAAATACGATGGTTATCGGGTCGAAGTGAGAGCCTCAGTGTCCTATTTCTGTGTAGATCCGCAATCTATCGTCATGTTTTCACCGCTATTGTAACTGTCACATTTACAACGGGTTGTCTCTGGAAATACGACCTCATCGCGCCGTGCATATCTGGACGCGCCCATCTCGCCCATGTCCCCTGAATATATAAACGACCTGGACTGCTGTCAGCGAAATTTGTCTCGATTTCAATCTCTTATGTCATTCTTCCATCACATTCTGCGATTCATTTTCCAGCTTTTAGAAAATCGGAATTGTGGAAACGGTGTTTTCCTAAGATGTCCGATAACCCAAATTTTCACTCCTTTCAAAACTTTTTCCCGGAAACCTGTTCCTTCGTACGGTTACAGCCATTTTCCAAACTCGAAGTCAGGATAATCCCCTGTCAGAAGCGATTATGACTGCTTCACATGAAATATGCCACTTTCTCAGAATTCATTCAACGTAAAACTTGAATTTTTTATTCTTCTACATGAACGAAGGCTCTAACTCCAATTTCTAGAATCATTGCACAAATTAGTGTTTATCTGCTAAGAAGTCACTAAGGGCGCATGCAATGATTACTGCTTAAATTATCATGCAGACGTATTTCTGAGCAAGTTTCGTCCCATTGGAATGCGCAGGCAACCTCCGGTCTTTATAGAGCAGTTGGCAAAAGTACGCCCTCCACATTCTTATTGGTCTAATTACGAGTAGTTTCACGTTGACAGCTTTTTCAAATCCGCTTACAGACATCTTCTGAAACAATTGCAGAGGCTGCACTTGAACACAACACCACGACACACGATATATCCCTTAAGACGTTCCATAATCCTCCCCCACTGAACGGATATTATGAAAGGTTCACAGCTACTTTGTGTTGATAAGTCCAATCCTGTACCTCGAGTGACATAAAGCGTACTGTAATTTATTCATCTGACTATCAGTCCATCCTTCAAAATTTATGTGGACAGTGAATTGCAATTGTGGGAAGAGTGAGCAAAAGCAAGTCAAAAGGGAACAACTACAGTTTCAGTAGGGCAAACGGCAATATTCCAGAAACATGAACTTTCGTTTGAGGAATATATCGATATTCAGAAAGGTCACAGTGTTCTGCGAAGACATCTCAGCTGCAAGCTTAAAAGCTAGACTTCTGTCGAACCTGCAACCTAAATTTCGTTATGCTAATCGTCAGTTGAGAGGTAAATAGGATGGCTGGTTTTGTAAATAATGAGGGCTGGTTTGCAATGTAGTGGGAAGCGTTCGCCATCTGAAACACCCGCGGTCAGGCGCGTCAACTCAGGAATCGTTGTCCTGCCTCGACCACACCAACATCAATCCAGAGTCCAGTGAAATGGTGCTCAAACTAGTCTACACAGGGAAGGTTAGGTCAGAAGGCCATGTTCTGTGAATAGCGACTGTAGATCACTAGACGTGGTTTTGGACGCTGATCTTGAATCTGCCTTCAAAATTTGCAAAGCGATTCTCTGAACGGAGTTATGGAGCCGCGTTTACCACGCAACAGGTCATGGGATCGATCCTGGCTCAGGTTACTTTTCTGCCTTGCTTGCGCAAAGCAGTGGAGCAAAAATGATTGATGCCCGTCACTACTACTTCAGTTCTCACCTGAGCTTGTCTGAAGAAAAGTTTGCCTCCGTTTATTAGTGCGCTTGGACTCCTTGTAGAAGCACTGTAGTGCACTGTAGTCTACAAGGAGTCCAAGCGCAGTAATAAATGGAGGCAAACTTTTCTTCAGACAAGCTCAGGTGAGAACTGAAGTAGTAGTGACGGCAAAATCACTTTTTGCCACGTTTGCGCAACAAGCAAAGAAGTTAAGTTCCAGCAGGGATCTTATTCCATGAACCTGTTGCGTGTAACGCGCTCCATAACTCCGTTCAGAGAATCGCTTTGCAAATTTTGAAGGCAGATTCAAGATCAGCGTCCAAAACCACGTCTAGTGATCTACATCTCATCACAAATGGCCACTTCGACCTGACGACCTTCCCTAGTAAGTGGATAAAATGCCTTGCACCACTCCACTTATTTCCGCAAGTCTTTGCACTGGACATGTCACATTCGAAAAAGCCACTACAGCTCTGAATATAAGTACACTTCATGCCAAGTTCCGCGAAGGGGTTGAGTGATGGCCCAAGTTTGTGGCTAGTGCAGTTAAGGGATTTTCTTTTCAATATCCTCTCCTTATATTCGGATCCGCTTCAAAATCATTTCAAAAGTAGCATGCCTGGGTGAGCTGCGGGGAATGCACTCTTCAAGAAGATGCTGACAGGATCTTGCAGCTGATTGAGCTCAAATCCTTTGTCCTTTCTCTTGATTTTCTTCTGGTTATGGTTAAACTTGCATTGCGATCCAGATCAATTTCCGTGGAAATATGCGTGTACACACTTTTTTCAGAAACGAAGGGATAACATGGCTGACTACTATGTGAAAGAGCCGGACGAGTCTGAGCGTCTGCGAAGAGTTACCTTCATTGCTGTGAGTACCTTTGGAAAACGGAAGGACCTGAATATTGTTCATGCTGGCCTAAAATCGCGACCTGGGCGCAAGAAACTCACAATAAGTCGTGGGGGGTATTCTCGGCCGCGCAGGTTTACAGCAGCAACCTCTGTGTGAAAGCAAGTAGGTGGGTTACTTCTTCTCTGGGAGGGAGAGGCGTAGTTGATGCTGGGAGAGTAGGGGGGTCGTATGTGGCTTTGGGAGAAATTTGCCGTACTGCAAAGAAATCTTTCTCACTTGTTTGAGTTTTCGTGATTTTCCTGTTTCTTGTGTACTATCAGCACCTCCCCCTCCGCTCGACGGAAAGAATTTTTGGGTGAAAAACTGGAAAATGGGAAAATTTGTAGGTAAGTGTTGGGGAAGGGAGAGGGGATGGTCGTACCGAGACCGTCATTTAGGTGGGAGGTCGTACTGGCACCTTCTCCCGGAAGGGGTGAGGGGTATATAGCCTATACCACCACCTAACACATCACGATGCTGTACACTGTGCGGCGGCATTTTCTGCGACGCAGCTTTCGCCAGGCTGCGACACCCTACCACTGAGCTTTTCTCGTAGCGCTCACCCTTTTCTAAAACCATGAAGAACTGAGCAGCGGGGGTATCGATAGCTGTCTCCTCCCGTCCTAGGAGTGTGGACGGCGCACCCTTAAATTGAGGTGAATACTGCTGATTGATGTCTTCAGGTCCTGATCTCAACGACAGCGGTTCTGTCAACAGTGGTCACTCTACCGTTGATTTACAACTACATCCAAGCCATGCAAACACACATGTCAAGCGAACTGGATCATTGCCGGGTAATAGTAGCTCTTACACTTACATTTTTTGAAGTTCAAGTACTAGTGTAGACGAAATACAATATAAACGTAAAAGCAGAGGGGGATCAGCAAACGAAAGAAGCGTATTAGTGATCAGTTGGAACAGAAAGTGCAAAAGTTATTGACGGAAGCCAAGGGTAGCGTGACAGTTTCTGCCACGGCGACTGGTTGTCTGCTTTCTGCCAAGTATGTGCAGTAGCCAGCGGAAGGGACATATACCCGTCATAGGATGGCATTGCTCAACTGGTTTCGCACTAACCAGTGGGATAAGTCAGGAAAACGGAATAGCCATTTGAAGAAATACATCGGCACATAGAAAAAGTTGGAGGTACTGTTGATGGAGGGGGCGCACGGTATGGAGATACTGCTAATCGCCGCGCACGACCTGTGACAATTAGACATTATTCTCTGAAGTCTGCCACTCCATTT